TATGAATATGCCTGGGAGAATTTTTCTTCTTGCTTCAGTAAATAACTTGTTAACAATATATGCTGCTCTATACCCATAAAATATGTTGACTCACATACAGGCTAGGAACCTGATATTTTTGCATCTGTGGAAAACAGAGATGGATGTCAAAATTCACGTCTGTACCTAATCAGGCAGAGTCCTGCCTCGCTGCCAGCAGTGGCCATGTGGAAAAGGGAATACTCAAACAACTCACTGCAGCTCATCAGCACAGCATGTTGAACATACTTGGACTTCAGCAATCTCTTCCACTTCTAGTCCTGGAGCTGCCAGGAGCACCTGACTTCTGCAGATGCACAGTGGAAAAAGCAAGAAAAGGGAAAAAAACAAACCCAAATGGGAAGGAACACTGGTGTCTATAAAGAGCTTGGCTAAATCTGCATAATAATGGAGCAGCTTAAAATTAGTATTGAAAAAAATAGAAATTACTAGGAAAGATTTAATCATAATCCTTTGAAAAACCTGAAGCAATTAGACAAAGCCAGAATTACCCACCATGTTGACAAAGGATTTGGTGAATGTGCAGCTCAGCTTACAGAGACAAAGACACTGTGTAAGTCTATTGAGCCTAACAGAACTACTCCAAGGCTGGATTTTGCTAGCAATGAATAGCAATAAAGAACCCCTTGTACCTCATGGATTACCTAAGATAAGCAATGCAAGCACAGTTCATTACCCAGTCCTGTTCAAGCTTATAGTCCTTCATTGGCCATTGCCTAGGGATCTTGGCAGGCAGGAGAACAGAGCACGAGCAGTGTCAGTGGTGCAGAGGGCATGGGCAGAACCTGGGATCTGAATGTTCCTGTGGATCTCACTGGGATGAGCTGGTGCTTGGGTCTGAATGCCCCATTGCTGTTTCTGCTGTCCCTGATCAGGCAAGACAAGGTGTGAAACCTCTCAGTTTAAAATGCTTCATTAACAGGCTCTCCACTCTGAGTTGTGCTGAGTAACGGAGAACACCTCTGCACTAGATTGTCTCTTTCCATTTGTGACTCAGAGCCTGCTCCCTTACTTGTGGGTGCGAGCATATTCTAGACATTGCTGCAGTCTATCCAGATACTGAACCTTTACTGTTCCTAATACCTGCGGGGATGAGGTTTTCACATGTGGATACAGAGAAAGAAAGTCACCTCCACTGGGTGAAAAGAGGGAAAAGGAGAAAAGGAAGTTCCAGCAGTTGCTTTCATACCAAGTCACTGCACAACCTCGCCATGGCATTTTACTTCTGTAACCTGAGGGTAGAGCTGTCGGCACTTACTGAAGCAGTAATATATTCAACATTTGTATTTCTTGAGTGCAGGGGACTAAAACAGAATTTCCATCACATGGACAGCTTCTAGACACCTCCGATTTTGCAAAAGTTCAAAATCTGAGGTTTCAAGTTAATAGATTGATAGAGATTAATGAAATTTCCTTGTGTATTTTGATCTGACTGCTGTATTTCACTCCAGAGATCCCTCCTTGTGACATTCAGATGCAAAACACCAAGTCAGGTGGTAAGAAATGTAAGCCATGCAACTGGAAAAAGACAAGAATTCAGTCAACCATAGAGTGACAGGAATGGTTTGGTGATGGCTGGTGTGACAGCAGCACCAGCACAGGGAATGGATTCTTCTTGTAACAAAGAAAATAAGGACCCAGATTAGCATTTCCAAGACACAAGGCAGATGAACACAATCATAAATATGATTGAGGGCTGAAAATTCAGAGTGGCTGCTAAATATTTTCTTCACATTCTTTCCCAAACCATTATTGGAGGTACACTTTCAGCAATCTGATTTTAAGCTGCCTTGCAAAGTAGCAGGCTAAATTCCCTTTGTATTCAAAATCAGGTCCTCTGGAACATTATTAATCTCACCTATTTTCAGTGTCTACATTATTATGAGAAGCATCTTATTATAAAAGTGCCAACCTCTGCCTCTCTCTCTGAGAATGAAAGTTTGAGGCAATTACCTTGGATGTGGGGTGTCTATTGCAGACATGTGACATTAAGGGAGAAGAAATCTATATCTCTTTCAGGTTTTTTCATTACACAGTCTTAATCTACCCTTCAAAGGAAAATACTTGCAAAATGAGCACCTGAGGAGGAACTGTAGAAAGAAATGGAAACTTCAGGATAAAGTGTGATGGTTAAACCGTCTTGCTTTGTATCAACATAAGCAACTCAGTAATTGAGGACTTGAGGATATGGTGACTAAAGAAGTATAACCAAGAGAGATGGAAATAGTTCCCAGTCTCTCTTTGCTTGTCAAAGACATTTGAGAATCAGATGGTAGTGCATAAGGATGACAATTTGATTCTTACAAAGGAAACCCATTTACAGATTCCTGCTTCAGAAGGCATGCAGTCAGTTTTCCTGCTTTGCAGACCCAAACATAATCATTTTGTGCATGCTATGGGAGTCACTGGGTGCAACTTTGTCCTGTGATGTGCACCAGATCTCACTGGAGAATGTAATCCTCCTGCTCTGTGACCTGCCCACTGCACCAGATCTGCTGAAGCGGTGCTCAGGGGCTTCAGAAGTGGGTGACTTCCCAAGATGCTGTTTGGTTTGCAAGGGAGTCAGCTCTGTAATGAAGCTTCTGCTGCCAGTGCTCCACAATCACAGAGAGGAGGATTCTTAGAGTAAAACCGTTAGTGGCTTTTCATTAGTGACATCTATACCCATTGTTTGCTATTTTGAAAGCCTTTGTTTCAGAGGCCAGAAGGGTGTGGGAGAGCCTCCTGCTGATGTTAAGCACAGGGGTTACACAGCCATGCATGGAGGCACCTGGTTCCCGATGGGAGAGGGGTGTCTGGCTGACTTCTCCATTGTTCTGCTTTATTTTCTCTGGGCTGATAAACAGAGATAACAGTGTGGAAAGAACAAAGCAGATTTAGTTTTTCTGCATTCTTCTCTGCTTTATTGGATTTGCAAGAGTTTTTCTGCCACCCACCCACTGGCTTTTAAAACAGTTAATCTCATAAATCTAATCTTGTATTATTGACGGAAGTGCCTTATCCTGATTTGGCAGGTCACATTGGTTCTTCATGTGAGTGTATGAGTGTGGCCTCAGGATGATACACATTGGCATTCTGAGTCATGTACTGCACTGTCCTGAACCTCAGTTGGTTCTTGTCTCTCCCACAGGAAACAAACAAACAAATCTCTTTTGAGTCTGGAGTGCAGTTCTTTAAATGCCTGAGCTGAAGCGACTGTGCATCCTCTGGGCTGATGCACATTCATGCTTCTGTGGAGGTCTTTGATACCTTGAGGGTTGCGCTTTGGCAGCAGAAGTACTGCACCAAGCTGCAGGTGGCAGGCAGTAGTAAAAAGAGACCTCAGGCTATTCCAGTCGTGAGCGATGCATTGATTTATTCCCAGAGTAAATCAAGTAGAGTAACCAAACAATATATTTGCATCCGAGATGAGCATCTCTTTCATAACCTTCTTGGCCAGGGGGGAAATTTCTGCAACTTGCAATGTCATTCTTCTCTTCCCATCATCCTTTTCATTAAAACTTCCATGCTCGGTGTTACTGGCATCCAGCTGATAAACTCAAATGCCATTCTTCTGGAGGATTCTAAATAGAACTGGTTTAACTCTCTTCAGTTTCTCTCCAAATGAAATGCTGTGGTACCATGTCTTTCTGTCAAATATGCTCTTACGGCATTGGTTTCTGATGGTTTATTTGCAGTAAGTAGCTCATCATCAGTACTCAGGGATTTCACTGAACCTACTTGTATTTTTACAGAAACAGGAGGGGCAAAAAGAAGGGAAAGCAAGCAGTGCACAACCTCATGTAAGCAACATGGAGTCTGTGTATGCAAAAGACAAATAGTTTGGCTGTATTCAAATACAGAGAAACTGCTGTCTTACAGAAGAGATTGGATGATGAAGCCTGAAAACAGGTTGAGTTAATTTCATACTTGTATCTTTCTGTTGGCCTACACAAACTAAATATAACAAACAAAATAGGAGGTAAGAAACTTGGAAGGACGAAGTAACAGTTGCCTTTTAACCACCAACAAAAGAGAAAAGATCAGTGTTGGAGTCCTGCTACCTCTGTGAATCATGGCAAACCACCATTCCCTAAAAGATACATGTGAGAGCTTTGCAAAATCTTCAAAGCTTTTTTCAAGGGAAAACAGCTACAAAGGAGTGAACCAGCGACTGTTTCTAATGCTGCTTTGAGAAGTGCTTTCCACCCTTATGTAAGTCTGCTACCTCTTTGGATCAGTTTCTCTGTAAATTCATAGCAACCTCAGACTACCTTGGTCAGAAATGAATGTTTGCGCTGAAGCTTTTTACTTTCCTGAAACACTTTGGGATGTAGCTTCTTGAAAGCACATCGCTGTTTTAAAGCCTTTTGAAATGATGGCATGTTTCCTGCAGTTCACTGCTTTTGCACCATCTGGCAATTGAAATCTTCTCATCACCAAAGAGGTTTTAGAAGGCAGAATGCAGCCACACTTGTCATTCAGACTAGATCTGATGGGGTCAGCCCTTAGGAAACAAGATTAAAACCTTTGAGTAACCTTCAGATTCATTCAGTCCCTGGCGTGGGTTTTGTTCTTCAGGCCTTGTCAGGAAGAGCAGGTATTTAATGGCTACCTGGTATCCTGGTGGTGTAGCCATTAGCAAACCGTTTAGTTACTCTTGGTGGTATTGTTTCTAAACACTCGTCCATTGCAAAATGAACTGACAGAACAAGTGTTCGGTAAAAATTTGTGGTGCTCAACTCCGGGATAGCTTCATAAAAGGAATAACTCACATGCTGTTGCTATGTGAAGTATCTCACACCAGTCTCCAGCCTCTTCAGTGTATGATGATGACCCGTGTTCCATCCCGCTGTGTTACGGGCTGCTGGCTGGCTGGATTACTGCTGTCTGTGTTAGAGAACTTTGCGTTATCAGACTGCAAAGGGGGCCTGGGATTACTGGATGGCTGTAAAAGATTTTGCTGGTTTTATTGTTCTCAGGGTGGAACCTGCACTTACCCGCATCAAAGAAGATCGGAAGCGGATCATCCTACCAGCAATTGACAATATCAAGTACAACACTTTCGAAGTGCAGCAATACGCCAACGCAGCCCACGGCTATAACTGGGGCCTCTGGTGCATGTACATAATCCCACCGCAGGACTGGCTCGATAAAGGGGATGAGTCAGCTCCCATCAGGTAAATCTCCCATGTGCTGTCATGTTGGTACAAGCAATGCTTCCATCTCAGCTGTTTGTCGAGGGGGAGTGGAAGTGAAGCAAGGCTATAGGTGTTGTACGGGGATAGCAAAATGGAACGGAAGAAAACAGATGGCTTTACAAAGCTGTGGATGCGTGTGTTGTATCTCTGAGTTGCATCGCAAAAGTGCGTGTGCTGTAGTTGTAAATGCGTGGGTCAAGTTGGAGCTAGAGGGTGTTGGAAGCAGATGTTCTTAAGGTCCTTTCCGACCCTAACCACTCTCTGATTCTAAATTCACATTATAGCCCTTAGTAGGAGAACAGGATCTTTTCTAACTATTCTTTTAGTTTCCAATGGACTCTGGCATGACTAATAAGCCAGTGAAACATTGTGTGAATGAGAAACAAAACTACACGACATGTTCATTACAGGACAGCACAGTCCTTCATCACTGACCCTTTGCTCAGCTTGAAACTTCAGTAAGCAGGAAAGTAATTAATTAGACAATCAGTTTTCCTGGATAACGTGCCCTGGTCTCCTCCCATTGTTTTGTATCTATTTCACTCAGCCCTGAGAAGCAGTTTATTGATGAAAGATCAGCCAAAGCTTTTATTCCTGAAATCAGGGGTTTAGTCTTCTGTTCCTGAGAAGTTTTGCGCACTTCACAACTTCCAGTTTATACGTGAAATCACTGCATCATTTCCCATATGAGTTGTTCTAGTATTTGAGTATCTTCTGTTCTGGAGACAATGATCACATATCGGATAAAACTGAACTAAGAGGTTAACCTCAGCAAGTTCTTAGACATGATTTTCAGTGCTGGTAGCTCAAGCATTCCCTGAAGTATGGAAGCTGCATCTGCAAAACTCTTCTGGAAATGGAACTACAGACCTTTTTAATAGAGAATAAGGAATGTCATCCCTGTAATGGGGTAACAGGTTTTATTCAGCAATACAGGGCCTGATTAACCATGGGCTTTCTCAGGTTTATGTTCAAGCTCTTGCTGGAGTTGTACTGGCACCGAGTTGGGCTGACACAGGCGTGAATAAGGTCCACACTTAAGCAGTGAGTGATGTTAAAATCTGATGCACATAAGTAGCTGGCTTCTGAGAGCAGCAATTTTATTCTGAACCCAAGTGAAGAAGCCCTCCAATTAAACAGTGCATAAACTGCTCAGAGACAGATGAAACAAGCAGCACAAGGAGGAGAGTGCCCAACCCTTGCTGGCAAATATCAGGAGCACTGAGATGCTATGATTGCATAAGTGTCTCTCCTGCAAATTATGAATTACATGCCCTGAAATGCAGAGACACCAACGTTGAACCATGAACACTTGTCTCCCTGGGAACATGTGCTTTGAAGGCAGCAATCTGGGAGAGCAAAGTATCCACTTCATAGCCACACTGCACTGACTTCTGATGGGCCTCCAAAGCAGTAGCACCTGGATAGGTTTGCTAGAGCCTTTGGCTGTGCTCTCTTGTTATGCCTGCCTATAGAAATACAGTGCAATTCTGTGGCTTTTAAGTGATATGCCAATGTAGTTATGGTAATGGAAAGAGCGAACGTGTGAGTATTGTTGATGAAAAGGTTCAGGAAATCTGTACTTGAAATATAGATTTGAAAGCATCCATGATGGGAACTTAGTAGCTGTAGAAAATTTAACGTATACTTTCAAAAAGAAGGGGAACTCAGACTAGTAAGAGAACCTTTCCAAAAATCTCTGTTTTGGCACACATCTTGGTTTCGTGACCAGCTTTCCAAACCATGAACTGCAGCCTTGACTAGTCTGTGTCAATCTAGTTTGCCAGGCATGCAGACTGGTCCACACCGAGGGTGTTTGTTCAGTGTGTCTGTTCAGTATGTTCATAAGATTGCAGGGCCATTCATCAGCATGAAAACTGCAAGTTCATTTAGTCCTTGGTACACTGTCCCTCTTAAGGCTTCCTTTGTCTCCAGCAAGTAGTGGGTTTGTTTTCTGTCTCTCTGTGTTTTGTAGAAGAAAAAGCTAGTAACTAGTAACCCCATGAATGGTTTTGGTGGTGGTGTAGCTGAATACTTCCTCCCAGATCTCCAAAGGGATTAAAGATTTTCAGTGTAAAAAAAAAAGCTTACCCTCCTATCAGTGTGGATCAGAGCCCTGGCATTTCTGATGTTTGCATTGTATGAATGTCATCGATCTGCAGAATTGGGTAAGACTTTTAGAAACTAGAGTCCGATCCGTGTTTTATGCTGGGATTACACAACAGATGTGCTTACTCCTTGTCTCAGAGGTTTTCTATTTAAAGCCTGATCCTCTGCTTGCTTGGACACTAACAGTGGTGTGATCCTACTCAGAGCCTTGCTGGGAAGGAGCAGGAACTGTCCTTCCAGTCAGTGGGGCACCCTATAAGCAGTCGTGTCAAATGCACACCATAAAATGTCACATCAGCTGTTGTGGTCCAAGTGACAGAGGGGATGTGGCCTTGAAGTGCAAACAAAGGTGAAAAAAATAGCAAGAACAAAGTGTCAGATTTGGTAAGGATTTCTGATGCTGTTTAAAGTCAGTTCTTATTTTCTTCCCACATTAGTACTCTGAAATTCAGAACAATTGATGTTCCCAGAGTTGCCTTCTGCAGGCAATCATTTTTATGTTTGACATTTGAGATGTAAGATGTCTCTAATGTGAAGATTTAAATGAGGATTGTTATTTTGACACACTGTGTTCATCACATCATTTTCCATTTGTGTTCCTGAGAACACAGTGCCCAAACCCGTCCTTATCATCTGGCAACAAACTGTGTAAGAAAGGATTCCTGTTTCAGAGGGTTTCTAATGAATTTGACTATGCATTGAAACAAGCTGGGTTTTTTTCTTTATGGAGAAGATGCTACTGACTGTTGAGACAGCAAGGAAGGTTTCTGGAATCCTGAGCTCTGGTTGTGGTTCATCTTCCTTCACCTGCCATGGTTATGATGGACTGCCCTGTGTTTTGATTTCTTGATCAGCAGCCAGTAACGTTAGAGACCTCAGTCAGCCTCACTCAGCCAAGCACTGCACATCTTTCCAGTTTATCTTCCTATAGCAGCAGTGGTACATTTCATTGTTTCATATGTTCTCACTTACTGCTTTAATATGCCATAGCTGGCTGCCAGTAGGAATGTGTATGTACACACGCTGGATCAGGCGCTCCAGAAAGCACACGTGTCTTGCTCATGGATATAAATTAGCACCTGATGTGCCCTCAGTGAGATGGTTTGTGCTGCCTGCTTCAGCTTGGAGTGTGCATGCCTTCCTCATGTGCCAGTCAGGCCCCATGCTGGTCTGTGTAGCGATGGTGATGCAGCTGTTATCCTGGAAACTGGACTTGTTGTATGCTCTGAAAACTCTTTCAAATGTGACATGATTACAGGCACATTGACCTTAAGGCAGAGGGAGAAAGATGTGAAGGGGAGAGGCAAACTTACCATATCATGTGCTTTATGTCAGTCTGGTGCTCATCCATTTCTTCTTCACTTGCTCTTGATGAAGCCCCCAGACAACATCCCTCAGTTGTCTGTAAAGGAGGGGGATGCACCTCTCTATGGAAGTGAGTGTCGGAGTTCTGCCAAAGCCTGCTGGAGTTCTGCAGACAAAGCTGTGTTCCTGGAGATCTTCCTAAAATGAAACAGTTGGGACACAGGCCTATAGCAGGAGGCTTTCATTTCTGGCCATGATGTCTTCTGTTTCTGGTACCCATCCCATAGCAGGCACTGCCCTCTTCCATAGGCTGCCTCTCTTCCCTCATAGCCACCTTCCTGTACCTGCTGCAGCAGCTGGGAGTGTGTGCCATCATGAAGCTTTCTCCATTCCCCCAGAGCAATGGCTCTCCCCTGCTTACAGCTATCCCGTCAGGTCATTTCCACAATTTGACTGTGCTGTATCTTCCTCCACTGCAGAATCAGTACTATTCTATGCTGCATTTTAAGGTTTTAGCTGCAAAAAAATATGTGCTGTCTTTCACACATTATCCTTTGAGTGCTGCTGTTGGTTATAATTAATGCTTCTAGCATCCTCAGTTGTGTCAAAGAGTATTCCACAGGTCAGTCAAGTTTCCCAACGCCTTTGAGGTTCTGGTAAAGAACAGTACACCTCTAATTACTGTTTTGTGATACCTTCCTCTAAAAATGTCACTGTTTCATTAGAAAGTGCATTAGTTAAGGGAGAAGGTCCTTTTACGTAAAGTAAGTGCGGGTTAGGTTAATACATTCTGCTCTGAAACTGTGAAGTGCTGAGGCACACACCTTCTCATTTGCTGCCCTATGGCTATTGAGCAGAGCTTAAGACATAGTTGCTTTTGCTCATATATCCATGTTTAACTTTCAAGGGAAGGCTTTGCTGAGCTGTACTGAAAGTGGTAGATAACTGAAGTTCTTCAGGTCCTGGAAAACCCGCTGATGACAACAAGTGAGGGTCTCATGCTTTTTAGGGAGCAGGGGTGATTTTTAAGTGTTTGTAGTAGGTAAATGTAACACTGTAGTCCAGTACAGAAATATCCCCCTATATGCTTAAAGTGCTCTTAGAAGTGTATCTTTACCTTTTAAACTGCTGAAGCAGTTTCCAGACTTCACCCAGTATTATTATGTGTGCTTCACAGATGGAGAAACGGAGGCAGGGGGAGGTGACTCACTGAATGACAGCGGGGAATAGTCAGGGTCCACCAGCTCACAGCGCTGTTACCAGCTCACTGGGCTGTGCAATCACATTACACTTGACTTACAGCTGGGTCACTCAAAGCACAGGGATGTTAGGGGCGTGGGCTTGATGACTGCGTGTCCAAAACTCTGGTTGAGCCTGATGGAAGCGTTGAACATCTGGTCTGCAGAAAACTCAGCACTGTGCATCATAGGCAGGTTCTTCCATCACATCAGGATGTGGCCAGGGCAGAGCCGTAGGCATCTCAGTTCAGCTGCTGGGGTCGCAGCCATGCTGCTGTGCAGAGCAGTGGCAGCAGGCAGCCAAACTCGGGTAGCAAAAGGCAGTGACAGTGGCAAGTTCTGATGTGGTTCCTTCTGCCATTGCACTGCTATTGTTGCTCATTCCTAAAAACATTTCATTTTCTCCTGAATAAGCCATGAAGGCTTGTGGAGCCTGTGTTTGAATATGTCTAATGAGAAGAAATAACAGCTAGAAGAGAGAGAGGGAGACGCAAAGGCAGTCGTTGGTGGCGTTCCACTGTGAGTGATGATTATGCAGTTACATCTAAAATCTATTTCCCACCCCCATTCAATTAACAAGTCAGTGTTTTAATGGTCAGAGCCGACAGCTGCAAAAATCCATCCCCCAGAGGGAGATTTCAGCACCTGAGAGCAGTCTGCAAAGCCTGGCTGTACCGTTCCTCATTAGGAAGGAAAGAGAAACGTCCTCATGGGAGCATCCTACTGCTGTAAGGAGCTGCCTCCAGAGGGTTTGGGGAGGGAGGGCCTGGAAAGCCCAAGCTAGCAGCTCAGTTTTGCAAAGCAGTGATGCTCAGGCCTTCATCTAGTGACGCCTGTGTTTAGCTTTAAATATGTCAGCAGGAAAATGAAGGAAGTGTCCTGTGTTTCTCCCCCTCACACCCCCTTTCTTTACCATGGTTGACACTTAAGAAATACCTAAATATTCCCTCAGAGACTTGTTTTATTTCACAGCCACTGAATTCCCTTTCCTTGGCCATGTCCTTCTTTTATTTCAGTTTTTATACCAAATTTATTTCTTGCTAGACTAAGATATGGTTCTCAGTGATGGAGGATGTTACAGTGGGATCCATGTTGGATATGTCTGGTGCTGAGCTCTCAGCCTTTTTAGGCAAGTCTGTCTTCAGGTATGGTCTAGGAACTGTAAGCAGGAAGATGCACTTTACCAAATAACTCAAATCTTTAAATGCCATCCATCCTGTAAAGATCCTGATTTATAAATGTATGCATCAACAGAAGATGGAAGTGGTGGTGACCCTGCTGCAGTGTCTTTGTAGGGTTTGTGACATGTAGCCTCAGTTTCCTCCAGCCTTTTTGACTGAATGGGTGCAGGGGTTTGGCTGAGAGACCCACTTGAGTCCAAAGTCATCTGTAAGATCAGATGCTTGCCTTTGTAATTGCCATTGAATTGTGTCCCCTCAGCTTATGATCCAGGGAATGTATCTCACTCTATAAGGGGGGAACGTGAGAGTTTATCAAGGTATTTCAGCTTCTTTGTCAGGAACAGTGCCAATCAAATGTGCTTCTATCAACAACTGCCTTTTTCAATTATGCAGCGAAAACATGAGAGGGGTAGTGTGCACCGCAGCATAGGCTTGTGAGTGATTGCAGTGGCTTTCATACTGAGAAAGGGAGATGCTGAAGCAGTGCCAGTAATGTGAGTGCTACAGCAGAGCCCGTTACAGGTAAGTACTTCAGCAAATGAACCTTTTCAAGGGTGCCAAACAGTTCCTGCCCTAGGTTGGGCTGTGTTCTGCAATGCTGGGGTGTGCTTTAGGCCCAGGGGCAAAGAATTGTTTTCTGTGACCATATCTTGGCTGGTTATTTTCAAAACCTTTTTAACCTCCTCCTGTAGAAATGGTGAGCTGCTGATGAGAGAAAGGACCTGGTGTGATAACATCATTCCAGCAGCCACCTGCTGCTGCCGGGGGGGATCCATGGGTAAAAAATGTGTTCATTTTCTCAGCCAGGGCAGTTTTTCACATGTGTATGAAACTGCCTCATAAATATGTTTCTCAGATGTCATGGGCAAACACCTTGCGAGTGGCTTTCTGTACGAATTGAAGAAACAGGCAGGTATCTGGGGCAAAAGAGACTTGATAGTGACAGTATAACGCTAGCGCATTACAAAGGAGACTTCTTAGAATAGGTTTTAGACCTTTTCCATCATCTTTGTTTCCTTAGGGCCTTTTCATGGTGTATATATATAAGCTTGGGCCATAGATCGAGCATTCTGTATTCTACTAGAAAATAGGTATAAACTCGATTTTTCCTGATGTCTTTTTACAATAGCACCGTTAGGAATGATGTTGCATCTGCCAGATGGCCTAAAAATCACCTCCCTTTCAATGCAAGAGGGAGCACAATTTTCTTTTATGACAGCTCCAGAAGGGTTCCGTTTCTCAAATGACACTACAATTTCCCTCATTCAGCAGTCTGGCCTGTCAGGATCCTGCTAAAATGGGGTTTCTACCTCCAGGGCCTTGGTACATCCCATAGATGTGACTGCAGGATAGCTACCCATAATCTTGCAGTAGGCACTATGCAACCTGCAAGTCAAACATGGAGCTGCAGGCTCTTGTTTGGTTTTCCACCTTGAAGTTAGTTAATTGTATTTCTTGACTGGGGGCTATGGTAGGAAAATCTAGTTCCTATCTTGAATTTTGAAGATGCAGGTGTTGTGACCAAACCGGAGATACAGAGAATGTGTGGGCACATGAAAACTGCAGATGTCACTAGCTTGTATTGCATTGAAATAATGCTTGTGTTCCTATAGTAAATGATCTCAAAATCCGTTGTCATGTAGTGCTGCTCATGTCACACTCTGTGACAGGTTTCAGATTGCTTTGTAAAGGAGAGCAGAACCATAGTTTTAAGCATACAGAAACTGATGCTCAGAGAAGGGAAATGATTTATGTGAAATCACGCAGTTGTACTGGGGGCAGATTCTCTTCATCTGAAAATTCTTCCTTTTCTGAAGGCTGACCTCAGCAAAGACAGAAATGTTAATCATGGAACAGCCTCACAAAGGCTGAAATTTATCTGCCAGAGTTGACTCCAGGAGTCCCTTGCTGGACCTCATACCATGATTGATCTATGGCTCCTGACATGCGCTTACTTTTAGTATGTGGGTACAGGGACTTCTCATTTCTGACAAAGCTCATGGGGTTTTGTTGTGTGCTAATCTTGAAGTGTTGTCTCGTTCTTGTGCTACTCTGTGTGCTGGTGAACTTTAGCTGTAGCACAGAGGTTGTGCCTATAAAATAAAGGAAAAGCAGCCTGATGCTTCACTTACATGCCCAGAGAACTTCACTTTGCATCTTATGTCTGCCTCACAGGCAGCTGGTCCAAGTGTGCGTGACACTGTGCTAGTTGTTTAAGTTGGCTCTGGTCCCACAAGGTCCTCTGTCCATTGGGGGATGAAGTGGAATGTAATTGCACACTAATAGATATGTGTAAAATGTAAGCTCAAAGGCTAAGAACTGTTCTGCCTGTGTACGTTTGTTATGAGGTGGGTTCTGTGGTAGCTAATAAGCAACCTAATTTCTTGCTGTAATCTCTCCATGCAGGACACCAGCCATGATTGGATGCTCGTTTGTAGTGGACCGAGAGTATTTTGGTGAGATTGGCTTGCTTGACCCTGGTATGGAGGTCTATGGAGGAGAAAACATTGAATTAGGCATGAGGGTGAGTAACAAAGAAGAGACTTTGTGCCATGTCTATTTACAGGTAAAGACAGGGAGCTGTGGCCCATCAGAATAAACTGTTTAGTTACACTAAAGTAACTGATACTGCAATGCTATCTGGTACTGACAGTCCCAGTAAATGAATATTCCTGGCCTTACTGGCCTTGAGAGAACTGATATTTCTGGTCTTGCAGATGCAGTACCAACTGAAAACTAAGGCCAGGCTGGTAGGAGTCAGTTCTAATGTTCTACATAGCATGCATGATGAATGTTGTGGTATTTTAAAGCTTTCAGGCTCCTCCTTACAGAATTAAGGAGTTACAGCTATTCAGTCCTGTCAGGTAGGTAAATGTAAAGTATGGACCAGTGACTTTGAGACAGCATGAATCCACCCTGTGCTTCTGGACTTTGCTTGTGATCCTTTGCCCTTGTTTTTAAGGTGGTACTTGCCAGCAAGTCCTTCTGAAGTCCAAGGAACATGTCTTTGCTTAGCACTTGAAATGAGATCACTTAATGTTGCATGAACACAGTTTCCTCATTATAAAGCTGACTGTTTAATTATTTTTCCCTTACTCTTTATTCCCTGCTTCACAGTAACACGTCCCTGGTGCATGTAATGTGCTCATTAAAGCATATATTCTGCTCATGGTGAAACACTGAACATCAAATTAGTCCATTCTTTATCTGACTCTTTTCTTCTAAAATTGCTACAAACTCCTTCACACCAGTGGGCTGAGGAAGAAGGTCATTGCAGCAAGAGTTTATTTTCACATATGGGTGTGTATTTATTATTCCAGCATCGCAAGAGGGATAGGGTTTGTAATGGGACTGTGTGAATACTCTGCTTACAGTTTAAGGTGCAGAATTCACATAGGGGACAGAAAAACTGCTACCACAAATCATCCAATTTTCCTTAAGAGGGTCAGGCTATTACCAGGATTGTGTGAGCTTTCCTTTATCATTGTGCAGGGCTTTGAGCTGTTTGAAACTTTTTCCACATGGCTGCTCCCAGAATAGATTGAACACTCTGGCAAAACTCTGGCGTAGCTGATGAATAAGCTTCCTAAGAAATCTGAAAGCTGTCGCTCTTCCTTAGGCGAGAAGAACTTGCTGAGTACAATTAGGGCTCCTGGTAAACAGAGGCAAAGGTTTTAATAGGATTATGAAATGGCACTTGTTTGAAGAGGCAAGGATTTGAACTGATTGAGGGCAGGATTTCAGGGGTAGGGAACCTGTTAAAGTCTTCAGAAACCTGGGATCGAAAAACCAGCTCTCATCCTTTGCAGGGTTTTTCTGCTGTGGGGCAGTGGCAGTGTTTGGGGGTTTTGCCTTATAAAGCATAATTAACCATGCTGTTAAAAGGCTTTATGTAAGTACGGGATTATGGGTGAGTTCATTCTGAAATAAGCTGTATGTCCGTAGCATGGATCTGTTACTCTGTTTTCAGCCTGGATCTAGCAGGGTAAGTAATACACAGTGTCTACCTCCTAATTTGCAAGTCCTATGCATGGTCCCCTCCTGTGTGTCTTTCAGAGCTGTCAGAAACTAACAGTGTGAAAATGCACAGGAACCTTCTCCATTCTCTGTAAGATATTTATAAAATCACTGTGAATTTTTTAACTCCAGAATCTCAAAGTAAGTCACAAAAAATCCCTCATTTCCCAAGGCCTGGCTGCACTGACCCATGCAGAGATATTTGGCGTATCCCTACACATGCACAGAGGGATGCTGGTGCCCATGTGTGATTCTGCTTGTGTGGAGCAGTGAAACACGGAAAAGGGAAGGAATAAATGCATGAATGAATAAAGACCAAGGAATAATACAATAAGAAATAGTAAAATGTGGGGAAGTGGTGGCACTGTTTGAAAACAGCTCCTATTTAAAATAGCTGTGACAATAATCCTTTAAATTTTTTTGCAAACTATTATCATGTTACTACTAAAAGAAAAGGAATTAGGTTTGGAGTGTCTGAATGATATTACATTGCATTTAATGAACCTTCATTTAAATTGTTTTAATAAAGTGAAACAGGGAGAGTTGGTGAAACTGATGAGCTGATTTGGGAGGATACTGTTTGATAACACAGCTAATCCCCCTTAAAACTATTGTTTATTAAAATAGCATCATCTTGGGTATTCCACTGTTGGCTTTTCCGTTTCTAAATTCCATAGATGGAAATACTTATATAATTAGCCTGAGTGATTTTCTGTGTTGACAAAGCAGTGCATAAACTGACTGGAGCTACCACATCTCTGGAAAATGCTTAGGGCTCTACTGCTCTTTTTTAACTCATGTTATTTTATGAGTAACTTTCATATTGGTTAGAGCTGTGACATTCTCCCAGTGGAGTAGCTTTGCAGTGAAGCCAGTGTCTGTTTGCCAAGCTCAGGAGATTCTGGTTTGGTTGAGAAAAGCGTCAGCTGTTCTGGGAAATGAAAGGGAGATGGACGTGATTGCAGGCTTGTGGTAGTGAGGAATAGATGGACACTTACCTAATGTCATCTTGTACTGTGTTTTTCAAAGATGACAGTTTCAGTGAAAGATGGCTAAATACAGGACTGAATTCTGTTGTGGACAAATGGTGCTATTCTCTGTGTGTTCACCAACCAGCTACTGAAGTTGATGGGAATTGTCTGTGAGCACCTAAAAGGTGATTTTGGCCAGGAATTTATGAAGTCAAATCGTGGCTGACTCCTCTGTGGATGAGGTGCCCTTCACAAGCACAGGCAACTTGGCTTCTTAACTGCATTCAGGCAGGCACCACACTGCTGCTCTGCCTCCTTGTATCCTGGTTTCATTCCAGCTGTGGTTCACCTCCCAACCTGTAGGCAGAGAGAAAGAAAAGCAATGGTCCTTCCTCCTGCAGCAAAGCTGTGGGATGTGTCTGTGCCTGAAGAAGACACCCTAAACTCAGAATAGATCATGTTCATCTTTGCTGCTCCTGGACATCAGATGGTCTTTCTGACCTGTAGAACAGAGACATACCCAATAGTTAAAGAAATTGAAGCAATGCTTGAGATGAATACAGGGATCCCTTTAAGTGAGGGTCCCAAATTATGACCCTGTAAGAAATTGCATTGTTTGCAAGTGTCATGAACATTCCTTTCCTAGTGGGAGCTACAACACACTTAGTTATTTAGAAAGGGATCATATAAACATTAAAAGCCTAGTTTATGATTTAACCTAATACAATCAGTTTACGATGCATCTTTTTATAGCGAGTCATTAATCATTGCACTAAGGATCTCTTTCTTCCTCTGGTGCTCCAGTGATAAGGTGAATGAATTGCTGTTCATTTTATTTTGTACCCATCAACTGTAATGGTGGGTGGGAAGTGATCAACCATTTGTTTTAGAGGATGCTCCAGGACAAATTAAATTCTGCTTCCACCATTAAGAATCCAAACAAATTAAATAAAAAATACATTACCACACTGACAACTGAAAGCTAAGCTTTTTCTCTTTATGGCTAGCATCAACTGGCAGTACTACTGTATTCTTAATAGGACTGTGATACACCTCAAAAGAGGGAATCTGCATCAGCTGATGAATGAGTGTTAACTCAGGGATTTGAAACCCCACAACCAAACCACAAAACCAACACACACAAACTGCTGACTTACCCAGTTTGAGGTATCTTAAACCTACTGCTCAAGAGGTCCTGGCCAGAGTAATCAGTTGGAGATGTCCCTAGGTACGCGTATGACAAATCGTCTCTACGGTGAATTCAAGTGACAACTTAGTGCTTGCAGTTAGTTGTGGCTTTGGCTCATGCAGATGTGTCCACAGTAACTTTGGCCAGTTGTGGGAACTGACAATGTTATGGCACAGTTCATCAGGCCGAAAAGAACTGCCTGACGATGGGATAAAAGCTTGGCTCATTCACGCTCTCTGCTGTCGTGATTACCTCGCTGTGGTGGCCAGGCTGCCTAGCTGAACTTAGGCATGGGCTGTGTGTATAGAAATGCAGTCCCACCTCTGAGCTGGGCAAGGAATACTGCGTGTCCTGTAAAAACTCGTGGTGCAGATGCACTGAAATCTCAAAATGAGGAAATGAAAGTCGTTACCCAGCACTGGCATACGCAAGCAAATCATGTACTCTCCAAACTTGTGCTTTATGGCCCAGCTTTACTTTAAAACCAGATGAGCTGCATTTTCTCCAGACAGAAGTGCTAATGATAGATTGTTGAGTAGTGAGTTCTTGACCTGATTTTATTACCTTTAGCTAAGGAGATTTAGATTTCTTTGAGCAGTCAGTGTTTTAAATGCAGATTCTGGGCTGGTATGCTGTCATAATAATGTCACAAAGCTTATGTATAGCAAACTTTAATTCTCAGTTCTGGACAATGCTTTTAACCCTGTGTGATTTGTGAGGCCAGGCTCCCAGCCTTAGAGCTAAGAGGTAAGTAGGGGCCCCGATCTGGAGAGTTTCTCAACTGCTGTCACATGCTGTGGTAAAATACAAGTGAAAACGGTACAAAAATAGAGCTGAATCAAAATGTCTTATTTCAGTAAATCAAAACCCTTCAATATTATCTTGATTATAATTTTTAGTAAAAATTAATTTGGTTTCACATGAGAGGTTTTAAACGAAAGTGGTTGAATTTGAAGAGGTTCAGTCATTTAAATGGTGTTAACAAAATACACAGTTGGTGGCATGTGAAATAGTAGTGCGTGCTGTCCTTGGACATGCCTGCTCACACTGGAGTGTGATAAATCTGTCTTTTCAGCATGAAGTTAAATGCCATTAAAATGTTTCTGACCAGTTATACACTGAACTCTGCCCTGCCTAAGCAAAATCCTTATAAGAATGTAATCTTCTGTTATTGGCAGTTGCCCTATCATAGGCTGCAAAGATCTCGGTGATATATTTCCTAGGTCTCACCTGCCAGATAAGCCATGTAAGTAAAAGAGTGTCCTCTTTTCCAATTCCAGATTAATTTAACATTTTGATAGGCGTTTTCTAAGGTAAAAGAATGTTAAGCTTCTAAAGTCAAGCATT